AAATTGGTCTCATGGGTATTCCCCCATTTATTGGGACCTGCCTCGCCACCGTTATTTGTGGTCCTTTGAGTGACTCAATAGCTCTTTATCTGGCGAAGAGAAATGGGGGCATTTATGAGCCAGAGATGCGCCTCTGGCTCTGCTTAGTGTTCGTACCTCTTGTCCCTGCTGGACTTTTCATGTTTGGCATTGGTCTCAACAATGGCTCTCATTGGATCTTACCTGCCTTCGGCCTTGGTGTTTCAGCTTTTGGAGTTGTTCCCGCCAGTAGTGCTGCCCTCACATATCTGACGGATGCGTATACCGATGTAAGTTTGCAATCCTTGAGACCTGCGAATGGGGTGCTAATTATCTATTATAGATTATCGCGGATTCCGTTGTTGCACTAACCTTCATTCGGAACGTAATCTCAACTCTATTTGTATTTGTCCTTCAACCTTGGGTTGATCGTGTCGGCTTGAATTGGTTCTATATCACTTTCGGCTTGATCACAATGGTGGTTATGTTTGGGAATGTCTTTTTCATCTACTTTGGAAAGACATTCCGTATCAAATTCGCACACCGGTATCGTCACTTTGGAGCTGAGATCTCGGTTCTTTGACAACCTCACTCGTTGTGCTAGAAAGAACTTGAAAGCTAGGAAATCGGGGAGTATCTCCCTTTATTTGAGTCCGTAATAGTCTATTTGAAATTTTATTTCTAAATAGTGCCCATTACCTACAGATACCGGGGCCCGCGGACATCCGATGCCTCTACGCAATACTAGCAATGAATAATCAAGTTACTAGTATCTCCTACTAGGGTAGCCATTGTCCGCATTTATACTTTTGATTTATTTTAATGCTAAGTTCTTCGGCTATCTCGTCCAACCATATACCTTTCAAGGTTGCACTGGTCTTGCCGAGAAGTAAATCAGCGAATGATATTCCTCCACTCCCTTTCAAGAAGGTCCCTCGAGAGCGGGGAACATGCAGTAGGAAGATAATCACTTCCGAGATCCCGCAACTTTATAAATATCATCTACACCTGGGCACCTGTAATATGATGCCTTTCAACAAAATCCAAATTTTACCAATATAATTCAAATCATATTAATGACCGACAGCTCGGGAATGGATACATGTAAAGTTGCAATTATACAGCTTTGCCCGAAGGTATCGTCAAGCTTAACATACCCATATGCCGTGATTTTATATACTAATGGATGTTCCGTGGATCCCAACAGCCAAATGAGATAAAGGACAACCATCGACGAGCGATCTCATTTATCCGGGAAGCCGCCACGAGCGGTGCGGATTTGGCGGTTCTTCCAGAGTATCACTTAGCCGACTTTTTTCCCAGTCATGATTCCGCAATAAGACAGCAGTGCGCCAACTGGAAGACCTATCTAAATGCGTATTGCGACCTTGCCAAAGAATGCAATATTTGCATCGTACCTGGTTCTCTTGGAGAATTGCACGACGACAATACACTCGTCAATGCCGCCTATTTCATCGACAACAATGGAGAGATAAAAGGGAAATATGAAAAGAAAAATCTCTGGCATCCGGAGCGACCGTTTGTAAAGAGCTCTAAAAATGATAGTCGCCATGTTGCATTCGACACGCCTTTGGGCAAGGTCGGAATTCTGATCTGCTGGGATTTAGCCTTCCCTGAAGCATTCCGAGAGCTTATCATGCAGGGTGCAAAGATAATCATTGTACCTGCTTTCTGGAGATACAGTGACGCATCGGAAGTTGGGTTGAAGCGAAATCCAAAGTCGGAGGGTGCCTTCTTAGACGCGGCTGTTGTAAGTCGCGCGTTCGAGAACACTTGCGCTGTTTTGTTTTGCAATGTTGCCGGGCCGGCAAGTGAGGGATTTGCTGGGCTCTCTCAAGTCGCAATGCCATTTCTCGGCTGCGTGGACAAATTTAATAATAGCGACGAGGGGATGAGAATCATTTCTCTCGATATGAATATCTTAGAGGAGGCTGAGGTTGCCTACAAGATTCGGGAAGATATGGCCACTCCAGATTGGCATTATGGCTACCGTCAATAGAATGCGATCAATTCTAGTCATGGCTGCCATTTCACATTTCTACAGAGACACGGGACATGATACTATTAAAGAGGGTGAATTTCACTTGTATTGACAGGGTAGTAAGCTAGTGGCGCTGCTAATGCCGACGATTCCGTTAGCTTGCCTTAAATCCGAATAAGTTGCGAGGGACCAGTCTAGATTTGGGGGTTTATACCTCGCTTATTTACTGGACGGACTTAGGCTTGTGCTTGTCTAAGCCTGTGGCGTTTCAGGGGGTGGTTTATGTACGAGTAGGATGTCGCTCATTTCCCACACCGCTGGGGGCGTCACGCAACACCGGTGCAAGACAACGGTCATCCCATGAGAGTCGTTTGCCAGACAGGTTTGAAAGCTCCTTTCCACTTTCCAATGTGATATTGGGGGCGATTCCTTCACGATTGGGGCGATTCCCCGGGGCTAATGGCCATAGCGTGGAAAATGGTCGAAACCAAGGGGCACAAAGTGGTTCGGGCTACGCCCGAACTCCACTTTTGCGACCCCATGAGAAAATGAAAACATGGAAAAGCTAATATAGCCTCATTCTGGGTTAATTTTAGGCGACGAGGCCCGATTAGGTTGGCTTGGCTCATATTTAGTCCTGCATTTCCCCCGAGGCAAGATTATTTTTCATCACGTCCAGAGTCCCCATATACCTTCGTCTGTCAATCCACTTTCTCCCTTTCTACTCTACAGTCACTTCAAGATGCAATTCAAGACACTCGCTGCTCTTCTCTTTGCCTCGGCAGCTCTTGCTGCCCCGGCCCCTGATTCCACCGCCACCGCGGAATCTTCCTCCTACGACGATTCCGACAATTATGACTCCGCTCTTGAGAGTATTAACATCCCATCATCCGTCATGGAGATCCTGGCTACTGCCACCGCGGAGATTGCCTGGGCCAACAGCATGTACACCGATTCTGCTTACGGTCAAGCCGAGGTGACCCGTGTTGCAGACGGTAAATTCCCTTCCTGGGTCACCGAACTTCCGGAGAGTGCGCAAACCTACGTTGAAAATGAGCTTCAGGCTGAAGCTTCTGCGTACTTGGCATCCGAGAGTCTGACATCCGCTGCCACTGACGATGCCTCGGCCACCGAGACCGGAAGCTCGGCTTCTGACTCGTCTGCTGCTGTCACCAAGACCAGCAGCGAAACCTCCACCGAGACCAACACTGGTAGCAGCTCCGGAACTGCCACTTCCTCCGGGACTGCTTCTGCTTCCTCCAAGTCTGGATCTTCCACATCTACCTCCACTGCCGGTGCTCCCGCTGCCACTGGCGGCATCGCCCTGAGCCTTGCCGGTGCCGCCGGTGTCCTGGGTCTTGCCCTTGCCCTGTAATGCTTTAGAGCTCGCAAAAAACCACTCTACATGTTCTTGGCGAGTTCCAGGCGTTTCCTTGATTCTTTTTACCATTCCGATCGATTCAAACGATTGAGCTCACGTGTCGACGCAAAGCGCTTTGTGATATTAGCATTTTAATAATTTTGAAACTGTACAAGTACCCAATCTGAAACAAATATATCATATCTTTGAGTCAATTAAGTATGAGGCTCAATTGCCAAACCCGATCGCTGTAGTTTGCTTTTCTTCGGGATCCACCTGCGCAGATCACCAGGAACCCGGCGACATGAGAAGCTTTTCTGGTGGAGTCATGGAAATATTGCCTTGGCTTTGGCATAAAACCATATGCAGGCGGCATAAATAGTAGCCTTCAAGTTAAAACCCAGGTAGACGTACCAGCCATAGCGAAGAGCCTCCAGCAAGCAGTAAAAGAATCAATGCCCCCCAAGGCCAGTGCTGCAATCGTAACCATGATCCCGGCGGAAAGCTAGAGGTAGACAAGCTACTAGTATGGCATCCAGATAATGAGAAAGCGGTTGTGATGAGGATATCTCATTCAATCACGAGATAGCCCCCCCGCAAGAAGACCAAAGGGTATCTAGGAATACTTGATTTCCCTTGGCCGTCTGCCAAAGTACTGGCCATTCAGACCGCCACTTCTTCAATTCTCGGGTTTCTATGAGATATCAGTAGAGCCATCATTTGTAAACCAAAAAAAGCAAGGCGCTTATTCCTCTCTCCTCTGGGTATCCGAATTAACCTCTCAATAGAGAACTTCTAATTCGTTCTCTATTTATTTTCAAAAGGAGTTGTCTTATGGGATTTCTACTAACAGAAAACTGGAACTGGACAGAATTTAAAGTCATAGATTCTCGTGGCCAAAAGTTTTGGTGGCTGAAAATTTCCGTCGATCAGTATCGGTCGACTGCTAGTACTGGTCTTTCATGTTACTCGTACCAGTCAAAAAATAACATATCAATCTTTTTCAGAAGTAAACCCCGCGAAATAGTGGGAAGGGGATTGGAATGACTCCTCAACCCGGGTGTTCAAACGCCAGAAAATTGTTGTTTGGACGCAGCTGCTGGAAGACCCGCAAGGGGTGCATCTAAAATCCTTAGGTGGTAACTAACGCCTGGGCAAGTCTTTCGGGCACTTGAACAAGCTAGCTTCTTTTTGTCCGGGTTATGATTCACGAAAATAATAACTAGTAGCCCCCGGCAGAAGCGAAGCGACTTCTTGGACCGTTTACGAGCCTCTTGTTGATTGGTGGGGCATACGTTAACGTTGATCAGAGAGTTGCCAAGTTCATTACACGAGCACGCCCCCTCAGCATATTGGCTGCAAGGGTTCAAGAAAAAGCCCACTGGGGGCCAACGCGCCCGTGTTCTCCTTGATCGACCAAGTGACCTTCCATATTTGGTTTGGCCTGAGGCTGAGTGCTATCTTTGTCCCCAGGAGTACGAAGTACGAGTACATTTCCAATACATTTAAAGAGCCTCCCACGTCTAAATTTCGACTACACACTTTCACAGCCCCAATTTTGAAATACAGCCAACATGGAACACAACAAGGACTCAACGCCAGTGGCCAGCCAGTCAGTCGATGCGACCGCGCCGACTCACGATCTCAGTTCCACAGCAGCAGCAGAGACGACAGCAAATGCCACTACCACCACAGAAACAACAAGATCAGTCGCGATTCCCGCAACAGAGGAGCAAGTGCAAACTATCGCATCCGATGCTGTACCTCCCCCCGCAATATGAACGGTATGCTCGCTTCAACTATCTGGATTATACATGCTAACGGTATCTTTTTTATTATCAGACACGAGAAAGAAGTGACGCCAGCACCAAACACGGCCGTACCCAACCCCGAAACCTATCCTCCGCATGAAAAGACTGCATGGCAATCGGCAACACAGGCCCCGGCTCCTCAGCCCGGGCAAGGTCTCGTCGTCCAGAGAGCTGTCGAGTTGAACCAGCTCAACGAAGAGCCGCGTTTGATCATCTGCCCCTTCTGTTACCAGGAGGCGATGACCCGAGTTGAGAAGGAGAGCACTAGTGCCACCGGGTAAGTTTTATTTCAAAACAAAGTCTTCGTCTATTTTCTTTGCCTGCTAACCTCATGCGCCATTCTACAGATTGGCGGCAGTGGGCTGCTGTCTCATCGGCGGGATCTGCCTTGCATTCCTCCCCTTTTGCATGGAAATGTGTCACGACTGCCATCACTTCTGTACTAAGTGTGGGCAGAAGGTTGCCATCCGTCCGCATGACGGCCCAGTGCAACTTTTTGCGCCCCATCCTCCCGTCGTCGCCACGGCGCCCGAGCCTGTGAAGGCGCCCGAGCCTGTGGCGATGACTCAGGACCCTAGCGGAAAGCACTAGGGGCTTAGCGGGAAGAACTAACTATTAATGTGTCACAGCGTTTGCTTTTGTTTTCAAAATTTCTTTCCTGGCGGGCCACTCCTTTTCTAGTGGCCCCGGGGGCTAGTATAGTCATGGGGGCGAAACCCCTGCCTGGGCCCACTGCTTGAAGCTCGAGGCTCAACCCGGACCCGAACCACCTCGGCAAAATGAAGGAGATATGTTTTACGTCTAAATTTGTACCTAATCGATGCTCTTTTTTATTTGGAAGAACAATAATGATCTCTCCGATTACGCTGAGATGAAAGTCTAATGGATCTTAATTTGCGACCGTGATGTTACTCGTAAAGTTTTATAGTTCGTAATTGGTAGTATTTAGTTACTATACTTGGCCTTAAATTACTGGTACACTTTCAGCTGCTCAGGCTAGCGAAATAGACGATCACTCCTGCGCCCAAGACTAATACTAATATCATCGTTTCTCGGCCTATGTTTTGAATAACGCAGATGGAAAATGAAACTCACGTGTCAGGAAATGAGAACTAGCCAAGGGATTGCAGGGCCAAGAAACCAAATCCAAGCGACATGTGACGGCTAGTGGCTATTATCATAGAACTTTCGATTTCTCTTGGCATGGCGTCTAGTATAATTCCACAACTAGGTTTCATTTATGCATGCTCACTATTTATATGCCACAAAAGTACCGCCTCATCTAACTGGTCATTGATTCCGCGCCTAATGTCCGACACCATGACGGAGCCGCATTATTGCCCCTTCGAAAATTCGAATACCAGATCGTGCACATTCAATATGTATAGACCCTGAAAATGGGAATTAGAGGCGGAGCCCATTGGAACTCTTGACTCCTGCTCTCAAACTTCTGGTTACTTCGAGAGATATTTGAAGTTGCTAATATCTTTTAATAATAATGGGTATTTGATATGATATTATGATAAATGAGCGAGGGCTTCAATGGAAGTCAAGGCTGGCCATACAGCCTACTATGTTGGTTCTCTTTGCCAATTTGGAAAGAATGCAACCTCCTTTGAAACGTGCGCACGGGCCCATGCTTATTTCAGTCTGTGTCATGGCGAATTTTAGAGGGGCAATTTGATGATATGATCCGGTCCATAATCTGTTGGAATCGAGCCGGAGTGGCAGTTATTCAACAGTACGACGGAGTCTCGTACCAGTAGAAGGTTGATTTTACAAGAGATATAACCCAAATCCCGTTTCAACAGATCTCTTGCATCCATCATCTCGGGATCGTCAAAATTCCGTCAATAAGCGGCTGCGACCTTCCCGTTGCCGAAGTCCCCAGCAGAAGCACGTCTTCGGGCTTGATCCAGACTCGGCAAAGAAGCGGTTTTGACCGAGCGCTAGCAACGATATGGGAAAGACTTGAATCTTTAGCAGCATTGGCAAGTAAGAAATATCCAAGGTTATTGGCTCCGCCCTGGCTGTGCGGGCCGATGTGGGGAAACCCGGGCTTTTGGCAATGCGCTTAACACAAATTTCTCCAGCACGCCATCGATTTCATGAATGAGTACAGAATTCTTCGAGGCTGCAAGGCGCTAAAATAAAAAGTAGATATACCAGAGCATCATTCAATACACTTCTAATAAAAATTTGTTTCGTCAAATTCGCATTTTGGATTATTTGCAGGCTTTTGGACCATCAGATTACCATGACTGAGCCAACACCGATATCGGTGACAGCCGGGGATGCGCCAACAACAGGACGTGTTTGGTATCGGACAACTCTTTACAATGCGTTCGTTATTGGAAGCGTGGGCTTCCTGGCTCCAGGACTATGGAATGCCATGAACTCACTGGGCGCAGGAGGAGCTGAAACGCCCTACCTTGTCAATGCAGCAAATGCTCTTGTATTCGGGTTGAGTGGGTCATCCAAATCGAATTGTTTATCAAGAGAAGGGGATATATTCCGACTGACTTTGGTGTTTTAGTGGGTTTTCTATGTTTGTTTGGTGGCCCCATCGCCAACCGCATTGGAATGAACTGGACTCTATTGCTAGGTGTCATTGGATATCCGATTTACTCGTGAGCCAATTCGGATCCGACAAAAGTCGAGGATTAATACTAATTTATTGGCTTACCAGTGCGGCTTTATATACAAACAACCGTTATGTGAGCATTCAACGATTTCAAGAGCCAGAATAAGAACACGAAATGACTAATATTTGAATTAGGGAAATGAATGGTTTGTACTCGTTGGAGCCGTTGCGTGTGGTCTTTCGTGAGTTCTTCCGTTCCATTAGTACACAGAAATGGGAACCTTATCCTGATAAAATTAGGGCCGGTCTTTTCTGGGCCTCCGAAGGCGCTGTGGCACTTGGCTATCCCGAGCCTGCGAAGAGAGGCCAGTATATGAAGTGAGTACAGCTCGGGTGATTTAACTTGAAATTCATCTCTGACTCTGATTAGTATCTGGCTTTGGTTCCGAACCGGTGGCCCATTGCTTGGAAGCGCTATTGTTCTTGGACTAAACCAGTAAGATATTCACTTGAGACTATGCTCATTATAGTTTGATACTAACACCTGAGAAGCTCTGCTGCAGCAAAGAGCAAAGGAAAGGTTGGCTCAGGTTCGTTAACCATGATGTTATTCTTATGAAACTCTCAAGAGTGCTGCTAATGTGGGATCCGCTCTAGAAACCTATTTAATTTTCGTCGCCTTGCAATGCCTTGCAGCTCCAATTGCCATTTTCCTCACTCGACCGGAAAAGGTGCAACGTGGTGACGGAAGTAAGGTCAAGATTGTACTTCAAGACTCATGGGCTGCTGAGATGAAAGAACTTTGGAGACTTTCCTGCCGCAAAGATGTAAGTTTTTAGGACTCTGAAACATCCAAGTCAGTTACTAATGGTTGAAAATTTAGGTTCTACTGCTTCTTCCTGTTTTCTGGGCATCATACTTCAATCAATACGAAGGAAGTGAGTGTTTTCTTTTCGAAGGGACAGGAATTGAAGACCCAAATCAAGTTTCTAACATGTTTTAATAGACTTTGAGGTCTATTATTTCGGGGTTCGGGCTCGCGCTTTGATTGGCCTTGTTTGTAAGTTTCGATGAAAATTAACTCTTGATGATTCTGCGGAACTGACAAGTGTTCATAGCATACATCGGAACGCTTCTCTCATCGTGGCTCATTAGCAGATTCCTGGATTACAAGAACCTGCCAGTGAAGAGCCGAATCATGTACAGGTAAGATTTCCTCCTATTCCATTCTTTCGAAGAAAACTTTTACTAATTAGGTGCCTCAGTTTCTATTACGTTGTTATCGTTCATGTCATCGCCTGGGTCTACGGGTGGGTTGTTCAAGAGATGTACACAGCCAAACCCCCATCCTTGGATTGGGCCGACAAGGGCTTCAGCCGAGGTTTATTTGTGGTCATTCTTTGGGGTAAGAAACTCATTTCAGCCGTTCTTTCGGTATACATCTAATCCCATTTTCACAGAATTCTCCCGACAGGCTTTGCAAAACTGGATGTATTATATGATCGCGACAAAGACCGATAACATTTCGGAGCTATGTAAGTCGCCGGAATAGCTCCCTTGCTACTGTTCATTTACTGACATGAGCAGCCCGCCTATCTGGAATCTTGCGTGGACAGGAAAGTTTCTCGCAGGCCGTCTCGTATGGTTTGAACACTAAAGAGTGGTTTGGCGGAAGAGTGCCTCTTGCAGTGAACACTATTCTTCTCGGTTCGTAACCAATTCTACCAAGAGCATCGTCCCATTGGTACTTTCGGTTGATTTTATACAAAATACTAATTATCTTGCATTATAGGCCTTGCTGTGTTTCCTACTTGGTTGGCTATCAAGGACCACGAGCCCATCGAACACGCAAGCAACGATGAGTCTCAGACAAAAGGACGGGACGAGGAGGAGACTTCGGTCAAGAGTGGCGAAAAGGTCGACTTTGTTGTCAAACAAGCCTCCGTGGCTGAATAAATACCTAATATCTCCCATCATTCAACATGAGATAAACAATTAATTAATCAGAGATGTCCTACTAGTATTTACATTACATATAATATTACGACAAACCGCTCTAATGTAAGGCTGCGTAAATAATCTTTCCAAAGTTTCCATTTTGACATCGACTATCCTGTGTTTGTATAAATAGGAGGTGAAACCGAGGACTCGACTTTACTTGGAAACATCTAAATTTGCTCTATTCATGTAGCAATGAACAAACTATAATCCCATAAGAAACCCCCACTCAAATATGCACCTGCCATTGGCCACTCATAGTCCCATTCGAGTAGCCATCCAGAGTCTTATTCACCTCATCCAAGTCTAGACCCTCGATAACTTGAAAGCTAGTCGGTTTGATTTTTCCTTCTGCAACAAGACCACTAACCCGCTTCCACAAAGGAACACTAGTAGCAGGTCTCGCATTCGAAGCACCCAGCACATTCAGTGTCTCAAATCCTAGAGGCTTTTTCGCCGATAACTTCGTTTCATCGACCGGTCCCCTAGGTCTTAAACGAGCGAATTTACCCGTCTTGGTGTTTGACAAAGCTTCGACGCCAATATACTGATCTTCCGGTGGATTAACAGTATCAAGGGCGTATACCAGATCATCTCCAACAAGAGTCTTCACATCAGCTGCAATTTGTCTTCCCGGCTTAGTTCTATCGATGATGTGTGTTGCACCCAGGGCCTTCAGATCTGCTTCGCCTTTTAGGCTAGCGACAACGATAATTTTGCCGATTCCTGCTATCGAAGCAAGCTGAATGGCGAATCTTCCAGTATTTGAGCCACCACCAACGATGAGGATTGATGCTTCTTGGTAATTGAATTCAAGTGCAGCCGGGTCCCAAGGAGCTGGTATATTGAAACCAGTAGAATCGAACAACGCAACAGCTGCGGTGACCAGATTGGTTGGCAGTGCTGCAAGTTCGGCATCAGTATATCCTGGAGGTACCTTTGCGGAGAATTTGGTATCCATGATTGAGTATTCCTGGAGGCCTTGAGTGTCGTAATTGGGATGTGGAGGTACTTTTGTTTCAGTACTGGTAATTGCCAGTAAAGCTTGTCCGAATATGTGGTCTCCTTGCTTGAAGTGCGTGACATTGGGACCGACATGAACCACGTGGCCTGCAATGTCCGAGGCCAGGACCGCTGGAAGAGATCCTTTTATAGAAAGTCCATCGTCACGAGACTTCGCATCGTGGGGATTCAGGCCAGCCACGGTGATCTTGACAAGGACTTCCCCATTCTTAGGCTCAGGGATGGGCCGCGTAGCTTTGCTCAAAGGTTTCCCTATTTCAGTCACTAGGAGAGCAGTTTGGCATTGCGACATCTCGAAGATAGAACTGTAACAATCTGGAAAGAGTTACTATGGTTTTTATGGGTACCTTTCAAAGATTTCGTGCAGGTGCCGGTACCAATTCCAAGGTTATTATATAGATTCCGATCTCTTCCTATAATCTACTAGTATGATATGTACTAAGCTTCTCTCTTTCATTTCATTATTATTAATCGCTAAGCGGACTTAGGGCTCGCTGAAAGCCGAATAACTTCCAACATTAAAGATAGTGTAAACAGTAAATGTAATTTGGGGGCCTTATTGAACCATTTTCATATTCAGCTGCCAGCCTATTCGTAGGTTCAGCTAACCTCGCTGATTTTTCAAAGTATATCTTGTCTTTGGATGATAATTTTCAATGTTCCAATATGTTCTTCGCCAAATTTTGTATAGCGTAAGGGCATTTTTTTGGTTTGACACAAGACTCAAATAAATCATATTCAGCTTTTGCTGAGCAGACAACGATCATTCATTCTCCGTGATGAATAATTTGCTTATTCTGCATAAATCCAGCTGATCTGAAAATAATGTACAAACTATATACCAGTAGGGGTGGGGTCAATACGATATTCTCCTGGTACTGGTACGGCTGTCACCGGATGATGTCAATTGCGGGGAACATCACTCTGACATCACCAGCCGCCTCGTCTTCGCCGCGACGGGACAGCTCTCAAGTTTGTCCATTATATACTTGCATTTGATTGTATTTATGTATTTTTCTCAATCCTAAGTAGTCTCATCAATGATCATAACAATTCGTGGTCATTCAAAGAAATCAAAAAGTGGTCGTCGGATCCATATCATCCACCAGCGCAACGCGAAATCCCAATTTATTCGTCCAATTTAGGCTCCGTGGTATGCTGGGGATAGATTTGAGGGAAGAATGGGCCTTCAGGCGACAATCATTAGTTCTTGTGCCGTTGAGGAGAAACATTTGCGAGTTCGTCCCTCAGGAACGTAGATGCCATACCTCTTGCAGGGTTATTCTCGTCCGACATGTGGTCAGTGATTTGATGAAGATCTTCAATAGCGTGCTCGTGTGCAAGCTCGGCACAGATAGCTTGGGAGGAGCTGTTTTTGTCAGCGACCCTGACAATCATTCTGAGGTTTTGTGAGAGAAGTCTCGACATACGGTGCTACATTTCGGTTCTCGTAAACGATCGTCTCGAAGTCGCTCATTCTGCGTACCCCAGTTCTCGGTGTATTCTTCTTGTCATTTCCATCAATCGAAGTACGCTTCTGGACAAATGTTGGGTCCAACGGGTTGTTGTCGATATTAGTTCCGACCATCTTGGGTGGTCGAGTCGAGAGTAAAATTGGTTTCAGGCTGATTGTCGGCAGCTTGGGTGTATTTATCCTGTTAATAAAATGCAGTTGGTGTAGTAGGCCACTTGGAAGAATCATGAGATGAAAAGAACTTCCCAGGCCTTTTAAAGCTAAGTGCGGGGAGACTGTCCCGTGGCACTCGGCATATGATGTGGCAAACCTATGATATAAAGACTATTTGGAGAGAACGAGGAGCCAATCGCTAGTACCCGCTCCTAGTGGAATTCAAAATCGGTGCTAGCTATTTTAGACAGAGGTTTGAAATCTAGATTACGTATTGAATATTTCAGCTACCCTCGAAATTGCATCTCCAGTCGCGATGATCATGAAAGAACCAGCAAACGCCACCGAATACGTAGCCACATCTCAGCTGTCCGCCTTCTCGCCTCCGTGATAAGTTTGATCAAGGACTTGTATTACTAGTAAGTTCCAAAGTTAGTACTATTATACGCCCAAAGCTTCATCCTCGTATATACCGCATTGCAACGTAATCATTTTAAACTCCAGGAGTCCACTGGCTTGTCTTGAGAAGTTTCATTTTTTGAATGTGACAGATTATACATTAGTTGCAAATATTTGGCAGCTGAAACAACATCTTTCTCTTCATCTCGTATGGCCTATCACAGCTCAAGTATTAGACCGGAATGCCATCACAAGCTACCTGTAAATCAGATCGCTTCCCATAACACAAATATGTATCCATAGACCGTATTTATTTCGAAGAAAATATTCCCGTTCCTAGTGATGTCCAGATACCCGAGATCTTGTACTTCAGCAGAGTCCTTCTTCAGTCAACCTCGAATGTTCGCTTTTGCTTGCCCTTAGTAGACGACAATAGGCCTATTTCTTGTCGCGAGCGGTCGGTAGGGGAGTATCGCGGAGACGTCCCTTGCAGTCATAGAGATCCGGCTTCTCGAAGTAGCGCGCACGGTTGGCCCAGTCACTTCCAATGTTGCTTCGCAGGACAAATTCAGGGAGGTCATATGGGGTTTCGTCAATGCGCGGATCATAGTCTTCGCTCCGCTCGAATATAAACTCCCAAAATTCAGCTCGAAGGTTGCTTTTGCGACCTCGACCCCAGTACTTCTCTTCTGGGTCAATGATGCGGCGATCCTTGGGGGAGAAATAGAAAGCCTCGCGAAGTTGCTCTCTAGTAAGGTTCAGGTCGGCACCATGGGGGAAACCTTCGGGGATGACATTGTATTCACCTCCGGGTGTCGCCGGGGCTGAAAATGTCGAGCTCAATGACGGAGAAGACTCAGGCGGAGAGGGGGGCATGTCACGAGTTCGGCTTCGTCGAATGGTGGGTGTTTTGGGAGACTCGGGGATCACGACAGCGTCCATGGGCTGAAACAATCTCTTGGACTTGGAGATTTGGCGATGTTTGGGCTTTTCGCGTGGCTTTTCGAATGCAAACCGGTACACCTCCAGAACAAGGAAAGCCAGGAGTACGGTAATGATCACAGAAAGGAGAAACGAGTTGAAGCTCCATCTAGCGGGTGGCAGAGCAATTTCCGGCTCCGGGTCATGGGCAATCCACCTCGGCGGAGGATTGAACATCCTTTCAATCGGAAGTGAATGGTTGAACTGAAGAGTGAATTGGAACGAGTGACTTGAGGGTTAAATGCAATGGGTTGGTGTACAGTGATGATGGTAGTAGAGGAGGGTGAGGAGAAGGGTAAGGGGGAGGGAAAGAGAAAGGGAGAAAGAAGAAAGTATTGCAAGAGTGAAAGTAAGTTCCAGATGAGGAAGGCACTGAGCTTATACAAAATGGACTCGGGGAAGGTACGACCCTGGTTGATGCCTGAGGCCACAATATACTTATAACTATACTACGACTAGTAGTATACCACCATTCACTAGTAGTATACTTGGTGAATATAGAATGCCCTCTCGATTGATATCAACCAAAGAAGACTCTGAAAATATCCAGTCGTCTTGATAACCCGATGGCCAATGTTCACATTGCTAACGAGTCGGGTAGGCCACTGAGGCAAGACTAAAGTAACACATCAACTTTAGATTTGAGGAAGCTTAAGTTAAGACTCTTTTCAATAAATACTCATTTTCAACTTCAAATGAAAAGTAGACTTCGTGAGCTAACCCATCTGCAACCTTCAAGGTAATCTGTCAGAACATCTATGGTTGTCCGTAATGCATAGAATATATTCTGGGGGTCCAGGAGCAACAGTGACACTAGTTGACTTGCGCACACTTTGTCTTATACTGGACCCGGCCCGAGGCGGGGCATGCGGAAGGTCAAAGTGGTTGTGTGTGACCACGACGAGGCACTGTTATTCGTTGAGTTTACTGGTGATCGCACTGTCTGAATATCAGCAGTGGGCGGCAACTTGAACCATGGAACTCTTGGAGGCGCTGGAGGCCCATGAACCCGAGCAGGAGAGACTCGACAAAGATTTATTTCCCCTGTCAGTCTACTAGATCTGTGGTCATGGAACGAATACTAGTACTATGGCACTTCTGTGGTCAATCGAAGCACAGTTCCTTCCCATGTCAAGATACAGCCGACCTCAACATACTGATCTACACACCATTATCATTTACAACCAACGCGGCTACAATATCCCCGATACTAACTAGATGCGAATCTCGCAAGTCCAGACCCAGCAAATAGAAATGCGGGGAGGCTCTCAGATCGGATGCACAGAAAATCATTTAGCAAATGCTATCTTCTAACAAAATCACCATGATCTACTAGTCCGACCCCAAACCGACGAACCAGCGAGTCGTGAATGGAAACTCCCCTCGGGGAGTGGCCCCACACTAGTCCCAGAAGAGTTATTGTCTGGAGAAAGGTGGATTTTTTCCCACCCGAAGCTTGAATGGGGGACGGGTATCGCCTGGTAGTCGAAGTTGCGTGAACAGGAAAATTTTTCTTGTCACACTCGACATTTAAGCTCGTTCTTTTCTTTGTTTTTCATTCTCATCCTATCTTCTTGGCGATATTCTTGGAACTTCTCGGCGCAGAGCTTGATTCAAGTATATCCAAGTCACTCGCTGTTCAAGTTGGGGTTGGATCCATCCTTCGCTGAAAGCGGAGACGTGAGGTCATTTCTCTTCGGATTTCTTTTTCGCCTTCGCCCTATTAGGCAGGCTGTGGCAGCCATAGGTTATCTGATCAGTAGCTACACGCTGCGGCAGGAATCCAACAGCCCTTTGAGAATATAATATCTTCTTTGTGAAGATTCGCGGGGGATATGGTTTTCGCACGTGGCGATGTCTCCGGCCACGACGATCAAACGCTAGGTACGGATGGACCCTGCAGCATTTCCGGGGTAAAAGCCGTCTCTACTATCAACACACACACGCTGACACTGCATAACAGAGCATCAAGTTTCCGCGCGAAATATCACAGTAGTCTCATGGGACAACGATGACGACCCTGACAATCCATACAACTGGTCCCTTTCTCAAAAATGGACCCTAACAGCCCTGGCGGCATTCACGACATTTATCACCATGATGAACGGCACGATCATAACGGTCGCCCACGAGGCAATTAACCAAGAGTTTAATATCTCAGATGCCTCTTTTCCGCACTCGTACTGGCCCGTTACATCTTGGGCTGTTGGCGGCGGCTGCTTCTCTCTCCTCATCTTACCGCTGATGGAAGACTTTGGCGTGAGATGGGTTTTCCTATCCACATACCTCTGTTTCATCTGTTTCGTTATTCCTCAGGCGCTGGCGCAGAACTTTGCTACGCTTGTTGTAACGCGATTCTTTGCTGGAGGGTGCGTTGCCATCCTCGCGAATACATCGGCTACGGTTATTGGGAATGTGTGGGATAGCGAGAAAGCGCGCAATGTCCCCGTCAGCCTTTATATTGTCACCTATCTCGCCGGAAGCAGTATCGGACCTGTGATCGGGGCTCCTATCTACCAATATCTTTCGTGGAGGTGGATCGGTTATCTACAGCTAATCTGGTATGGCGCTCTCTTGCCGGTATATTTCTTTTTATTCAAAGAATGCCGTGGTATTGCCATCCTGGCGCAACGAGCGAAGGCTTTGAGGAAGGAGGGCAAGTTGGCGTATACCCAGCACGAAATTGACATGGAGGGAACGTCGATGATGAGGATCGTGGCTCGAAGCGCCACAAGGCCTATTGTGCTTTTCTTCACCGAGTCGGTGGTCTTCGTCTCAACGCTCTGGTCCGCCTTCACCGTTGGAACACTCTATCTGTTCACACAGTCAGTCGAACAGGTCTTCGCAGGACTTTATGGCTGGACACCCGCACAAGCCGGCTACGTCCAGTCAGCGATCGTCATCGGTGAGATCATAGGATGGGTCGGAACTCTGTTCTCAGGAAGACTATACTTCAACTCGGCGTCTCGAAACACGGAAGTCCCCGTACACCCATCCCCGAGGCTAGACTATACCTCGCCATAGTGGGCGGAATGATTGGCATCTCAGGAGGAATGTTCACATACGCCTGGACCTCCTATCCTAACCTCCCCTGGATTGCCCCGGCGGTCGGCCTCGCAATGGTGGGCGCAGGTAGTGTGATCGTAGTGACGGGAATCTCGGACTACGTCGTGGATGCTTACAGCAAGTACGCGGCCTCGGCCATTGGTATCATCGCCGCGGGCGAGAACACGTTCTCGGCCTTTCTACCCCTGGCTGCTATGAGTATGTACTCGACTCTTGGCTATAACTGGGCCAGTACGCTTCTTGCGTTTATCTCGTTAGCGTTGTCTCTTGCGCCCATTCTTTTTGTGGTGTGGGGTAAGGAGATTCGGGCAAGAAGTCCGTTCATGAAAGAAGCCATGTTGGAAAAGAGGAGGAAGAGTATTGACTCGGTTTGATACCGGCTTTACTTCTACCTTCTTTCTTTTTTCCCTGTTTTTTCCCCGTATCATTTAGAACGGAGTATGTACATACATCAATCAGGCATTTTAATTTCTCTTTTGCGTCATTAGGCATACATTCGGACAGGGAATTGGGTAGAGCATCTGAATCGAATGACCTCATTCCTGAAAACAAAAGAATATCATCGAAACACCATCTCAAAAAAGCAATTCAAAACGAAGAGCAGAAAAATATTCAGACTTTCGGCTATTCTTGGAACTTCTGCAACAGACATCGGCTCGTTTCACCTGCCACATACGAACCCACGAGGTTGAGAGATCCCGGGTCCCACCGGTTGTTGGAAGTTAAGAGCAAGACCCCAAAAATGGAGCGGGTGAGGCTCAGGCAGTGGCCATGGTTTGGTTCCGGGTGGAGAACTTAGAACTAAGGGGGGGGGTGAGGGTACTCGGTAAGGGGTGCTGTATCGGAAACCGAGTCTGAAGAGGGCATGCATGTAGAAAGATCAGAAACACGCGGACTGAACTTTGTTTTCTTTTTTGGCCCTTTTCTTGAACAAAGGATTGTGTGTCTTGCATGTAACTCTGTCAAGGTGAGACCCCGTGCACGACTAGCACTAGCATCAGCACCACTGGGACCGGCACCACAATCTGTTACATACAATCAATTGCTCCTGTCGGCATAGATGACCCGGGGCCCTAAAAAAATCCCAAAAAAAGAGGTGGGGCAGCTGGGCAACAGAGAGAGAGAACATATGGTACTCTGTACGGAGTACGAAGGATGGAGAAGAGAGTGGAAAAAAATTTGGAATCGAATACAATATACTTTTAACTAAGCATGCAATGGCCAGGAGTCGAGCGGAGATTTTCCAGAATGTGGTATAGAACGGCTCTCGCGTCCGCTAGCTTCGACTCAGCTTTGCTGGTCGCCCTCGTGATCCTTGGAACGGTGCCCAGCCCTACACATCGCAGTGAACACCGTTTTGACGGAGTACATGCATACAACTAAATTTTGGTTGAACCTTCAGCACAGCGGTCAATGTGACGCTTTTCGAGAACAATATCACTCCGCTGCCGATCAAAAAGGAGATCATGCCCACATGTAACACGGAAACGCCCGGTAAACCTTGTCCCGGCCCGCATCTTGAGTCCGGCATCTTCATCTGATTGTTGAGGAGAAAGATCGTCCATCACTTTATGGAGGACAGGGGATCAACTCGGGACTTGGCCGTGAAAGACTGAATGAGGAGGAGGAGGAGATAGTACTACTACGTAGAACCCCCAGTCGGAGTGTTGCAGCATCCCGGTCAAAGTCCCAGCCACGGGAATTCTAGACGAGAGAAACACACTAACGCCCCACGTTCGACGACGAGGCTAAGGGTTAGAACTTCTAGATCGTTTCAGGGTGGACGATCAAACCGAACATTCTCAGTCTCCGTTGCCCTGTGCTCTCCACCCGTCCGGGTTGTTTACATCCCAACTAGTACTAGTCTAGTTATGGAGTCCCGTTAGTCCCGTGAGGCCCGTTAGTCCAGGGGCAGTTTTGGAGAAGGAAAAAAAACATGAAAAAAAGTCCACCATGTTTGAAACTTCGATCAAGAGTCTATCGCAACTCCTGAGCAGTCCGAGTCCACACGGCCCAACATTTTCTTACGAGCGCCCCCCTTTCCTCCCTATTTAGTATACCTTATTTGGGTAATGGTGTGCGATCTAGTTCATTCTCTGCGGAAGAGAGTAAGACATAGTCCGTACTCTTCGGCAAGAGCTTCTAGCATCTCCACGGGGGCGTGTGGGCGCGGTCCGCCATCGTCACATCGGAGTCCGCCCGGTGATCATCGTGTTGGAGGATGAGACAAAATGATGCGACAACCTTAAGCTCCGCGTTCACGAGCAGGGCGATCCGGGATTGGGTGTGTGTAGATCAAAAGGAGGGGTTGGCTGAATACTCCGTACTTGTACGGAGTAGATGTGAGGGGATTCCAAAAAGCAGAGCCCCATAATCGGGGCCGAAGATTCCTTTTTTCGGGCATAGTAGTTAGTTCAAGTTACCCTAGAACTTGACTCGAGAGAACGGAACGGGAGTACAAGATGTACTACCCGCAAAAAGGTTTCGCCGAGGCCATGTGGGCGCCTTAATGTTCTGGACCTTGGTGCTGTTAATTGCTGCTTGATTGCCGCTTGAATTGTTGGTCGGGCCAAGCTTTTTAATTATGACTCGTTTTTCATCTCGTAACCATGGGCGAGAGAAGACGGGTAAGGGCTCCAGGGTATGCCAGGAGGAGATGGAGAGTCTAGATTTGCTGATCTGTATAAAAATGAATGACATAACAATCTAACGGGCGGGTCAGGAACCAGGTACGAGTACGGTGGGGGGAGGGTAGTGGGCGAGTCTCGTCCGAGTTGTCAGCCGGGATATAATTATACCTGCTGCAGGTGTGATAGCCACGAAAGACTCATGCAAGATCCGGCATTTCAGTTTTTGCAGGGAGTGCTCATGCACTCCAGACATGACGTCCGAGGGTTGAAGGATACATCAGCTGGGGGAAATTCGGAACGGCAATAGGGGTGGGAGGGGAGGGAGCATGCCATCCCTTTTTTCGACTGGTCTGTTCTGATCAGTCGTGCGCTAGACTAGGATGACTCGAGGGTCGGGATAACCGGAAGCGATCTGGTCAAGCCACAGCCGTTTAGACCGAAGGACAGAGGGGGGGCATATCGGAGAAATAGCAGAAATGGGGGGTGTACAATGGGACCTTGGACAAATGGATTGGAGCCACCGGGTTAGTGGGAAGAGTGGGAGGAGTGGGAGGAGTGGGTCAGGGCAACCCGGTTTCAATGGCTGCATGTAAGCGCCCAGTGGGAAGTCTGAAACACCAGTCCAGCGCCAGTTTGACTTGTGAGCGAGCTCTTGGCATGTCTCCACTGGGTCACTCCCGTTGGCCTGGCCGCGGCACCCTGGTCACAGTAGCCTTGAAACGAGAAAAGTGATCCCCCTCGAAATGCACAGACGTTCTGCAGTCCAGTCACGGGTGGCGCGGGAGTGTCGAATCAGGGTACAGGGAGGGGAGATGAGAGATGAGAGATGAGAGATGGAAGAGGAGAGAGAAGGAGAGAGAGTAGTAGGAAGTAGGAAGTAGGAGTATGGAGGAAGTAGGAAGTACGATACTGTATTGTCAGTATTGTCAGTGATGTGATGCAAGCTCTCTTTTTGGGGCAGCAACAACAGAGGAAAGCGTAAGCCTCCTTCTTTCCCGGCCCCAGTGGATCACTTACCATACGTAACCATGTACTTTTCTAAGAATGAACAACGTTATATGGGAGTCCCACTCTGCAATACGGTAACAGTCACAGTCACCGTAACACCACCCATTGGCTTCCCATCTCATCTACTCGGACGGGCTATTATTAACTTAACTTACTGTTCCCCTTCCTCTCCTCCTCTCTTCCTCCATCCTACTCTGTCGAGAATTCTCTCTCCTTCGTTTCTTTCTTCCGCTGTGCGAATTCCACAGAGGCTTCTACCGGCTGGTCCAGTATAATCTCTGACATCTCTCTTTCTTCGGTCTTTCTCTCTCTTTGTCGCCATTTCCTGAGGCTGGCTCCTCTTGTCTCTCAACGCTTCACGAAATTTGAATCTCTCCGGTAGTCGCGTATTTTCGCTCCTTGCCGCTCATCGCATTCAAACCCAGCCCCCTTGCGATCTATCGAATCGCCTACATCTTGAATCTATCTCTTCCGCGCGGCTATCCGACTTGTGTTTCGCGATCGACCAGAGTGAGTCGGCCCGCATTGATGCGATGCGTTTCATATCCCCAGAGTCAGGTCTAGAGTCGGAACCCGTGGACATCGCCTTTGTCTCACGCCTTCTTGTCTTGAATCCTTTCTTTGTTACTCGCCTCGTTTATCTATCTGCCCTTTTCCGCCTGTGTGCTGATCAATCGATTCTTTAGCAAACCGTGTGGCACCATGTATCCTCACCCGGGTGCCCCGATGCCACCCCCGCCGACGCAGAAGCCGGAAACCTTTATGCTCTCGCAAGAGGCGCAGAACAGCCTTCCGCATGATGCGCAAGTCGCTCTGCAGCAAGTCGATAATCGTACGTCCTGCGTCGATTCCACCCACGCCGAAACTCCGTGAGGTCTTTGTTTGTTAACCTGACTCGTCCTCGATAGTAAAATATTTCCTTTTGTCAGCCCCCGTCGACTGGCAACAGGACCAGCTCATTCGCCGTTTCCTCCTCCCGACCGGCGACTATGTTTCGTGTATTCTCTGGTTAGTACTGGAACTGATAAATGGCCGAGCTTCACACCGAAGAGGCCAAAGGCCAAAGCTAACCAGATTTGTCCTACAGGAGCAACCTCTTCCACATTTCGGGTACCGACATCGTTCGCTGTCTCGCTTTCCGATTCCAGGCGTTTGGCCGTCCCGTGAAGAACTCCAAGAAATTCGAAGAGGGCATCTTCTCCGACCTACGAAATCTCAAGGCCGGCACCGATGCGACCCTCGAGGAGCCCAAGAGCGCGTTCCTGGACTTCCTGTACAAAAATAACTGCATTCGCACGCAGAAGAAGCAAAAGGTGTTCTACTGGTACAGCGTTCCCCACGACCGACTGTTCCTGGATGCGCTCGAGCGAGACTTGAAGCGCGAGAAGATGAACCAAGAAGCGACAACGGTCGCGGTCAGCGAACCCGCCATGTCCTTCGAATTCGACTCCTCCCAGTCCCTATATGAGCAATTGACGAAAGCGCAACAAGCGAATTCCTCCTCGTTCGCTGCCCACGCAAGTACGACATATGGCCAGCCCAACTCCCCCGTGGTTCGGACCGTTGACGCAATGCCTCCTCCCCAGATGGCTCCCCCAGCGATGCCGCTACTCCAGGACGACTCGGGTCACCCCGCGATGTACGGAGCTCCGCAGATGCCCCTGACGAATAACCTCGTTCAGGGTATCATCAAGCGTGAGCAAGATTACGGCCCAGTTCAATACGATCGCAACGGAATGCCCATGGCACGTATCCACCAACGCCATTCGTCCATGCCAACCTTCTACGAGTACTCCCCCGCTCCGTCCTTTGTGTCCTCGCAGTACGAGGACTACAGCAACCGCGGCCTGTCGTTCGAACCCGTGACCCCGCCTCAGCATTCTGTCGGACTTGGGGCTGAACCGGCCTATATCGCTAACGAAGATACCGGCTTGTACACTGCGATTCCCGATCTCTCAAACGCGGCTTCGTACAACCCTATGATGCAGCTGCCTCCATCGAACTTCGCCAGTGGCCACTACCCTTCTGCGTCCCGATCTTTCTCGTCCAACGCCTATCCCGTTATCGAGGGCTCCCCGACATACAAACAGCGCAGGCGCCGACCATCCGTCACCCCGGGTGCCTCGAGTATGCCGGGTACAGCGCACGGTTCCGCCCATGGCACCCCAGCACCCCAACCGCCACCCTATGCTGCACACCGGCCTAGCGATCTTCGTCGCTCGGTGTCTCAGCTCTGTGGCCCCGGTGGCTGAAGGAGAGGAGACCGCACAGGACTACTCTCGCTCATACCCTTCCATGCTTCCCCAGAAGGACCTGCTTCAAGAAATCTCGCGTCACGGAACCCCACTGCAAAACCTCGACGAATCCGTCAACCATCATCACTCTGTGCCCCTCAACCACCAAGCTGATGACTTGGCAGCGCTTCCTACGAGCGCAGCATTGGAGAACACCGTTCAAAATAGCACTGGCCGATCGGAAAGGGCGGGCCCTGGTCCTGCTCGCCGGGCTCGCAGTGCGACCATGATGGAGCTGGGTCCATACCCCCCATAAATCCCATTCATGCCCAATCCCATCCTGTGGCAGACTCTTCAAGAGATTAGAACACCTAAAAAGGTAAGTCTGGTTCTATTTTTAATTCTTCAGTCCCCAATTGTGGGGACGATCTGCACTCCGTCCCTGTCATCAGTGTGATGGGGTTTCGATTGGCGCCGAAACTAACTTGGGCGCGTAGGCACGTGAGGACTCATACCCAAGAACGCCCATACCCCTGCCCCTACTGCAGCAAAGCCTTCTCGCGCTCCGACAATCTTGCACAGTAAGCTTACACCACACCTGACGCTTGAGGCGTTGGCTTGCCCTGCCTTGTTATTATTACCGTTGCTAATTTCTCCACTTCTCAGACATCGTCGGATCCACGAGGCCCAACAAGACGGTCAGCCCGCCCTCGCTACCGAGGAAGATCTGGAGAATGATGGCGAGTTCGACTCTCCTGAGTCGTCTCCTCCTGCTCCCGCTCACCCCCACCCCCACAGCATGGTCAACATGCCCGCAATGACCTCCATGGCCACCCCCATGAGTATTCCTGCCGTGCCGGGCATGGCTTCCCACATGATTGCTCCACAAATGCTCCAGCAGCAGTTGTGAGTTTTAGTTATATGAGGGTTTTACCTCCCGGCGCGGTTTCATTGTCTGGGTTCGTTGGCGCCGCGGCGTCCTGCTCTACCGTCTTGTAATCTTTTTTTTTCACTTTTGCCTGCCTGGCCTGGTCTTGCCTCGCCCGTTCTGAATTCTTCTTCTTTTTTTTGTGTCTGCTATTTGTGTTGGGATGCACACGGCTGTATTTTGCAACGGATCGAGGAACTCCCTCAATCTACCTTGTATTATTGTCTTGTCTCGCCTTCGTGCCGTGCCACTAGGCACACACAACCCGCGGTTCACACAATCTGCCCGGCGGGTACGGGCACATCAGGCGTAGACAGCGCGGGGGATTTATATGGACTTGGGCACACACATCTTGGTTATATTTTCTTTTTTCTACTACTGGAACTGCTGGGTTGGTTGCTTTTTCTGGAATATCGGGTATCTTCTCAGAAGAGCGAGGAAATTTGGAATTGGATGTCGCTTTGTGGCGGCTTCGATTATACTATAGACTACTTAACGAATTGAATTGATTAAAATTGTTTCAAATGCGGGGCTACTATGTAGATGCTACCAGGTGTTTTTAGTAGTAACATACTGCAAGTTCGAAGTTGCGCTGCCGATCATCATAATACGTGATTGTCACGTGTGCTGACGTCGACAGCAAGCAAGAGGCAGCTCTCAATTCCGATCACTTCAGCCCCACGACTTGGTCAATTCAGAGACCAGCAGTAAACATATTCCGTTGTCACTGCGCATTACCGGCGCATATCATTCTCTGCTGCCACCTAGCAAGCATCGCGCAGTGCCCATAGCCGCATGACCTGCACGCCTCCTCGCGGCGCCCGATTGAGGAGTTGATTTGATTTGCGGAATCACCAGAAGCAGCCATAGACCCCTGTCTACGATTTGGTCAGTCATCACCGGATGCTTGGCGCAGAACATCTATCCCAAGAGTTTGCCTACGACGTTTTAAATTGCCCTGGTTGCGACTCGGATACGTGACTACTAGTATATGTTACTGGCAACTTCCCCACGATTGTTGTGGGCCTTTTGATCTTATCTCCAGAGCTCGTGTTACCGGAGGGTTCGTCCCGAACGCAACGCTTCTCTTTGACTGACCTTGGACAAGTGCATGATCCCTGTGGATTATTAAGCCGGCTGGAAGTGGGAATTCGTCCGATGGAGAGAAGGCGAGAAGATGGGACTGAAGCCGCTGCCGGCGACGGTGGTGGCGTCTTCGCAGAGAGAAGACATGAGGACGACGTTCACGATTCTTCAAAGAGCGCTTGGTACCTATTTCTACTTACAGTGTCTATTGGCGGGCAAGTCTCTTCTCTGTCTCTTTATCTTTGACTTCTTTTCTTGCTTACACAATATAGACTCCAAGTTGTCTGGTCTGTAGAACTTTCAAATGGATCGGTAAGTTCGGCCTCTCTCCCTTCTACAGATTCACCAATCACTATCTCCGCTGTGTTTACCGTAGGGGAATCTCCAAGAGCTCTGCTAACTGCGCCCACCCTCTTGTGTAACAGCCCTTTCTACTTTCCCTGGGTATGAGCAAAGCGCTCCTGGCCGTTGTTTGGATCGCGAGCCCCCTCGCCGGGACTTTGGTTCAGCCTTACATCGGTATCCGCAGTGATAACTGCCGTAGCCCGTGGGGTAAACGCAAGCCGTTCATGGTAATCGGTGGTGCGGCGACTATATTATGCCTTCTCGCCCTTTCGTGGTCGCGGGAGATGGTCGGTGGCTTCTTGTCTATCTTTGGCGCTGATCGTGATTCGAACGGGACAAAAACGATGATTATTATCGTTGCAACTCTCTTCATGTTTGCCCTCGACTTTGCTATCAATACGGGTATGGTTATTACTCTCTTCATCTTCGCTCGCTCACAGACCTGATCCACTCATTTGCTAATCCGATTGCTATAGTGCAAGCTGGAATTCGAGCATTTATTCTTGACAACTGTCCCGCTCACCAGCAGGAACAAGCCAATGCCTGGGCTAGCCGATTAACCGGCGTCGGCAATATCCTAGGCTTTATCTCCGGATACAGTGACCTGCCGAAGTATTTGCCATTCTTGGGAAATACACAGTTCCAAATCCTCTGCGTCATTGCATCGGTCTCTCTTGCTGTTACATTAAGCGCGAGCTGCATATACATCAGAGAACGTGATCCCCGACTGGAAGGTCCACCCAGTACAAGCGAGCTGGGTGTGGTGTCTTTCTTTCGCCATGTATTCAGGTCCATCCGTGATTTACCACCGCAGATTTCTCAAATCTGCAAGGTGCAGGTCGCTGCCTGGGTGGGCTGGTTCCCGTTCCTATACTACTCGACAACATACATTGGCCAGCTTTACGTGAACCCGATTTTCGCAGATCATCCGAATATGCCAGAGACTGAGATTGATAGGGCCTGGGAAGAAGCTACCCGCATGGGCACATTCGCGCTTCTTGTTTACGCCATAATTTCATTCCTTGCTAACATCCTTCTTCCTCTGTTCGTTGTGCCGACTTATGGAGACGCCTTGGCCTCCGCTGGAGACGACAACGAGGGCTCCATTGACACTGCGAATGGGGATGAAGATGAACCTACTGAACACCGGCGACTGTCATTTTCGGCAATTCCAAGCACTTCAGCTGAGCCACTACTTGACCCAGCGACTCATAAGAGATTCCCTGTAGAGGGGAAACCGACATGGCTTGCGCGCCTCCAGATCCCTGGATTGACGCTCCGGCGTACGTGGCTTTTATCTCACCTTCTGTTCGCGGCGTGCACGTTCAGCACGATATTCGTTTCCTATTATCCAGCAGGAACGGTTATTATCGGCTTCCTTGGGATCTGTTGGGCCGTGACGCTGTGGGCGCCATTCTCCCTCATTTCCAATGAAGTTGCCCTCATTGATGTTCAGCATCGTCGCAAGCGTCGTCAAGCAAGATCTCACCACGCAGCCCAGGGTGCTCCCTCAACGGCTCATCGTTCCGGGTCATACGCAGCTGTTTCTGGGGAAGATGATCATGAATATCATGAAGACCACGAGAATGAAGGCAACGGTGACCACGAGCACGAGCACGATCTCGAAAACGGTCGACTTGGGTCTGCGTCCGAAGATGAAAATACTGCCCAGGCTGGTATCATCTTAGGTCTACACAATGTTGCCATCTCATTCCCTCAGATATTCTCCAGTCTTATCTGCAGCGCTATATTCAAAGCTGCTCAAAAACCACGAGGCGAGCCGTGGGATGATAGTGTGGGGTGGGTTCTACGATTCGGTGGAGTCGCTGCACTCCTTGCCGCGTGGTTGACCAAAAGGTTAGCCGAGGGGACACGGTGATCCTGCATCATAATCTTGTGTGCTTGATGGTAAACTTGGCTTCTGCCAGTAGCCAATATAATTGGATTGATTTCGGCCCCAAGCAAACACAAAAGCAAAAGCATAGTACAGCATGTATCGACGATGTAGTACGAAAGTGGGTCAGACATTGTAGGCACGGAATCAGCTGAGTGATCTATTCTATTCAAATACTTGAAAATTCGACAGTGATCTCATTGTTTCAATCTACCAGGACACATCATACATAACAAAAGCTCCGAAATACCAAGAAGACTGCTTGGTGTAAGACTATGGCTATTGCATGCAGCGCCGATCCCCCCTTAAACCACCCGCAACCCAACCATGTCTTGGCAGCGGAAGTGGGCCACGTGTTAATTACCGAAATACGCTAACCATACCGTCTCATTACACCACTCAGCCCTGTCATCTCCCGCTTTTCCCAACTCCGCCCCTGCCAACGGCGTCCCTCTCGTATCGGTCTCGTCTTTCGTATACCAAACCCCTTCCAGCCGATGTGTCCCTCCGTCCCTCCCAGGCGGGTGCAACTCCAAGAACCTCAAACCTTCCAACCCTATTTCCGTCTGGCACTCCTTCACTCCTCCGAGCTTCCAGTCGCTAGAGTATGCGCAGCTCGTCCTAGCTCTTTTTCGCCAGAGTTACTTGCCAGGTGTCCACACCCGCCCTCGAGCATCACTGATCGAGTCGCGATGGCCAGTCAACTGTTTGGCGATGCCGCCTACGCCCTCATAAGTACGCACCACCCAGAACATCAAGCGCGGGGTTAGCCCTTTTGGCAAATGCTAACCTCTTTGCTTTACTCTTAGGGCGAGCGGCCGAAGACACTGACCCTGATGGTACGCATCCAACAGCCTAGGCTCCCTCCCTTCCCTGCCGAGAAAGCTCCCCTTCACGACGCGGCGATCTGACATGTGGCTTGGAATACAGATGCCCCCGAGGCGGGCTCGAAGGAGATCACCAGCTCCTGGGCGCTTTTTATTATGATTATGCTATTGATGTTTGCCCTGTTCACGAGCTATATCCTGCAGCAAAAGAAGATCCAAGCTGTGCACGAGACCGTGCTCTCCATCTTTGCGGGTATGTGATATCGGAGCGGCAGGCGCAGGGCGACAATGGCTGGCAATTCGTCGATCGCCTTGATGCCCTGCGCGTTGTCGTGCATATCTTACCGGTATTTCCCAAGCTAACAAGGACCAGGCATGTTCGTTGGTCTGATCATCCGCCTCACCCCGAAATCCAACCTTCAGGACAGTGTCGCCTTCGACTACCAGTTCTTCTTTAACCTCCTTCTTCCTCCCATTATTCTCGCCTCCGGGTACGAGCTGCATCAAGCGAATTTCTTCCGCCACATTGGTACCATTCTCACCTTCGCCTTTGCGGGAACGTTCATCTCAGCCATCGTGCTCGGTTTGGTTCTATATCTCTGGACACGGATTCCGATTAGCGGGCTCAATATCTCCTTCGTCGAAGCGATTTCCGTCGGTGCCACGCTCTCTGCAACAGATCCCGTTACCATCCTCGCCATTTTCAATCTCTATAAAGTCGAGCCGAAGCTATATACCATCATCTTTGGCGAGTCCATTCTGAATGATGCTATTGCCATTGTTCTTTTCGAGACGGCACAGAAGTATGCCGAGAGCGCGGCTGGGTCTCTGACATTCCTCCATTTGTTCGAGGCTTCGGGACTCTTCTTGGTTGTCTTCTTTGGCAGCATGTTGATTGGTATCGTAGTCGGCATCGTCACGGCACTTGGCCTCAAGTATACTCTTGTGCGTCGTATGCCGAAGATCGAGAGCTGCCTCATCGTCCTTATTTCCTACGCCAGTTATTTCTTTTCCAACGGTGTCCATATGTCGGGTGGGTATCTCGTTCCATGTTGATTTGCACTCGCCACATTGCAGCTAACCTTGAATTATAGGCATTGTGTCTCTCCTGTTCTGCGGTATCACCCTCAAGCATTACGCCTACTATAACATGTCGCGCCGTACGCAGTTGACCACTAAATACCTATTCCAAGTCATGGCGCAGCTTTCGGAGAATTTCATCTTTATTTACCTCGGCCTGGACCTTTTCGTTGAGTCCAACCTGCAGTTCAACCCGCTCTTCATCCTTGTGGCAGTCTTCGGTATCTGTCTGGCACGCTACTTGGCTGTGTTCCCGCTCTCCAAGGCCATCAATTGGTTCCTTCGCTATAGAGCTCGCCGTCGCGGCATTGAGGTTGCCGATGAATTGCCTTTCTCCTACCAGGCCATGCTCTTCTGGGCTGGACTGCGTGGTGCTGTCGGTGTCGCGCTGGCCGCTGGCCTCACGGGTGTCAATGCGCCTGCACTACGGGCCACTGTTTTGGTCGTTGTCGTGTTAACCGTTATTATATTCGGCGGTACCACAGCCCGCATGTTAGAGATTATGGGCATTCGTACCGGCGTGGTCGAGGAAATCGACTCAGATGACGAGTTTGACATCGAAGTTACCCATGGAGGAACATACTACAAGCGCTCCGACACTGCTCTGGGATACACTCCCCGCCACGACTCCACCATTCCCCTGGACGGCGTCAACAACTCACGAGCCGGTCTCGGCCGCCGCGCGGACAGCTACACAAGCGGTAATAACCAGCGCCCGAGTCCACCCGGACACACCCGGATGTACTCGAACGCCTTCAGTCAAAAGGACACGCAATCAAAGCGCGATCGCTCATCTACAGCAACCCTTCTCAACGGCGGTGCCAGCGATCCAGACCTTATCGCCAGCGACGACGAGTTCGGACTCCCGCCCAACGGCCAGAACCGTTCCAACTCCGTCGCCCACCCCGATGAGTTCGACCTCGACCTCGACAATGCTTCGGACGATGACCTCCCACCCGCAGCAAGCAGTTCGTCTCGTCTCCGCCGATCTCCATCACACCCGACCCCAGCTGGAACGGGAACACACACACCCTCACCGAACCCAGGTACATCAACAAGCGTCTCCCCAGCCCGTCGCGAACCCACACTCAGTGCGCGCGACGCTCTTCGGGACCTGTGGCAGGGCGGTGCATCGGGCGACCACGCCGCGTGGTTCCGGCAACTTGATGAGGACTACATTAAGCCGAAGCTGTTACTTGATCAGTCCAACCACAAGGGTCCCGGACCTGGCGCTGTTTGAATTGAGTTGAGTTTTGATTTTGATTTGATATGACATGATTACCCTGAAAACGCATCTCCTTCCGCCCTGAGTTGACTTTGACATTGACTTGCATGTGCATGGTCTCTATCAGGTGTTTTGTGTTTTACAAGATGAATTGTATATTTAGCCTTCTTACCTTCAAGTTTTACACCTTCTTACCCGTGACGCTTTCAAGTTTTTTGCCGCTTTGGATTTTCGCATTTTCGTAACCCCAAGGATTCGTTTTTTCTTCTTCGCGGTATTCTCGAAATTCGACGGTCATAGCTTTGGTGGCCTTTTTCTTCTTTCGATTCTTCTGGCTTTGTTTCTCTTTCTTTTGGTGCCTTGGCCCTCTAGGCAGCAGGATCGCCCCGGTGGCTGCCAGTGGTCCTCTGCTCTCTGTTCTACTAGTACTACTATTATATGGTTGAGTGTCTGGCTGGGCTTCGGCTCCGGTCCACTAGAGCTGTGCATTTTTGAATACTTGTTTGCAGTACCTTGTGATAAGAATAAGACAGTGGTTAGAGATCTAAGGATGGATTTTTAGTTGTAGCATGCCACGTAGGTATTCGAAAATCTACTACTAACTAGTACTGACTACTTGTACTTACTACCAGTATATGGGCCCGAGTGTACCACCAAAAACAACCCAGAGCCACTATATCGTACACCCCGAAATACTACTCAGTGCAAATTTATGCTGGCACTAGAAAGGGAAATCCAGCTGCTTATTGACCGTCAATCAATGATAAGACAGTAGGGTGATCCCCTCCCAAATTCAAATTTCATTTTGGAGCCTCAGACTGAGCCGCAATTCCCGTTTCTAGATATTTTAATCTTGAGAAGTAGCAGTGCCGCACTGCTATCCCCTCGCCTTTGCATAAGTGCTCTCACAGACCCATTGGCCGAAGGGAAGTTCAAGTATTGCCACAATATTAACCTGGGGCGCTTTCTTCTTTGCGTTTTATAGGTTGGTGAAATGAGGCTGTGCCTGCTGGTAGTCGCTCCGAGCCGTCGCTGGCCAGCCAGTCGCAGAGTATTCTACTTACTGACTCCCCATTTGAACTTCCAATATGGTGGTCAAGAAAAACCCCGGTTAGGTGGACTATGGGGCTCTTCGGGCCATTTCAAATTTCCCCTAACAAATTTGGGTACACTATAATATACACACATTAAAAACCACTCAAATAACCATAATACTATATTTTCACCACAATCTAACTGTAGATAGTCAATTGAGACGTATTTAAGAAGCAAGAACGGTGGCAACTGAAGAGGTAGGGAGAGAGGTGGCTCGAGTGGTGTAGTATTATATAATTTGTCCCCCTGGCTGCTGTCCAAGTGTCGGCTGTCATTATTACGTTGTAGTAGGGTTGCACCTAGCCAGTAGCACAACACCCACTGGCATCATGATGTTCACTCAAATCGTCCTGCGTTCAGAGATCGACTCCAATGATCCCATGTCGGAAGAAGCCATATTTCTCCTTGGCCTTGATTTTCCTTTCCTTCAAAAACTTCACTCGTAACCGTTTGGCCTCTTCCTCGCCTATGGTGTTATCTGCATACTTATACACCATGTTGCGGATTTCGGGAGGGAATCTTGCCAGGGCCATATCAACAACTCTGTTCCTTTCTGTCCACCAGATCTCTCTTTGTGGAAGAACGTTTGCTGACGAAATGATCCTAATGTGCGGGTCTACCAGGTAGAGCACCAAAGCTTTGCGATGCCCATATTTGGACTTGTCGACCAGGGGAAATGAAGAGACGCGATGTTGTACGACCTTCGTGGGTTGAAATGCTTCCCAGCTCTTGTGTCACCAATGTTCGCTCTCGGGGCT